CAACTGAGCGACTAAACACAGCACATAGTAGTTTCCTGGTCCCTGCATTGCAATTGCATTGGAATAAAATCTTGCAGTCAGCCTAGACAGGGCCTCTTGATTTTGATCCCTCTAACCCTTCTAATAGTTCTCCTTGCTACTGTTGTTGCTCAGTCACTGAGTCATGTTCAACTCTTTGGGACCCCATGGACTGCAGCATGCCAGGCTTCCCTGTCCTTCACTATCTCCCTGAGTTTGCTCAAACTCATGTTCATTGAGTCGGTGATGCCATCCAACCATCTCATCCTCTGTCATCCTCTTCTCCTCCCGCCTTCAATCTTTCCCAGCATCAGGGTCTTTTCCAATGAGTCAGCTCTTTGTGTCAGGTGGCTTCAGCATCAGTCCTTCCAATGAATATTCAAGGTTGATTTCCTTTAAGATTGACTGGTTTTATCTCCTTGCTGTCTAAGGGACTCTCAAGAGTCCTCCAGTACCACAACTCGAAAGCATCAGTTCTTTGGTGCTCAGCCTTTTTTATGGTCCAGCTCTCACATCCATAAGTGACTACTGGAAAAACTACAGCTTTGACTATATGGACCTTTGTAGACAAAGTAATCTCTCTACTTTTTAATACACTATCTAGGTTTGTTATTGTTTTTCTTTCAAGGAGAAAGTGTCTTTTAATTTCATGGCTGCAGTCACCATCTGCAGTGATTTTGGATCCCAAGAAAATAAAGTCTGTCACTGTTTCCATTTTTTCCCCATCTATTTGCCATGAAATGATGAGACTGGATGCCATTTTCTTAGTTTCTTGAATGTTGAGTTTTAAGCCAGCTTTTTCACTCTCCCATTTCACCTTCATCAAGAGGCTCTTTAATTCCTCTTTGCTTTCTGCCATGAATGTGGTGTCATCTGCATATCTGAGGTTATTGATATTTCTCCCCACAATCTTGATGCCAGACTGTGCTTTATCCAGCCTGGCATTTCTCATGGTGTACTCTGCAGATAAGTTAAATAAGCAGGGTGACAATACACAGCCTTGATGTACTCCTTTCCCAATTTTGAACCAGTCCATTGTTCCAAGTCCGGTTCTAACTGCTGCTTCTTGACCTGCATACAGGTTTCTCAGGAGGCAGGTAAGGTGGTCTGGTACTCCCATCTCTTTAGGAATTTTCCACAGTTTGTTGTGAAAAAACACACAGTCAAAGACTTTAGCATAGTAAATGAAGTAGATGTTTTTCTGGAATTCTCTAGCTTTTTCTATGATCCAACGGATGTTGGTAATTTGATCTCTGGTTCCCTGCCTTTTCTAAATCCAGCTTGCACATCAGGAAGTTCTCGGTTCACGTGCTGTTGAAGCCTAGGTTGAAGGATTTTGAGCATTATTTTGCTTGCATGTGAAATGAATGCAATTGTGCAGTAGTTTGAACATTCTTTGGCATTGCCCTACTTTGGGATTGGAATGAAAACTGACCAATAGTTCTCTAAGCAGCTAATTCTTTGTGTTAAATTTCTTTCTGCATAAAACTCCTAAAGAGGTTTCTTCTCAGGAACATGATGATAGTCATATCTGTAATCCCACTGTGAGCTGTTGTTAGCAAAAACGAGACTTTAAAGGCCAAACACAGGGATCTGAAGTTATGAAGATAGATGGGTGTGCTTTCTTTATTTTCTATGGTTTTGTTTAGCAAAAGATGATGCAGGGCTTTTGTAGGATGGTTGTAAAATACCTATTTCCAGTGTTGGATATTTCCCATTGTCATAATATATGTATCTGTTTTCTAGAGGTGACTACTTATAACAGTGGTTGTATTCAGTTGTATCTCGGAACAAATTCTCAACTCTGACTCTACATTGGAACCAATCTGTGGCCTTACAAAATGATATGCACTGGGCTCCACTTCCACAGATTCTGACATATTTGGTTTTGGTGGAATCCAGACAATAGTATTTTGTAAAAACCTTTCAGGTAAGTCTAAAAGGCATTTGGGGCTGATAACAACTGGACTAGGCCAAACCATAGCACTAGAGTTGAGTATAATTCACAACAAACTCACAGTGCATAGATAAATCCCAATAGAGAGGCATGTAAAATGCTCTAGTGACCACTTACTCATCAAATTTTAAATAAGGGTATCAGCAGTGAGGCCTGGATTTGTCTTGGGATTATTGGGAGAGAATGACTTAGGCTGGACTTTGAACAGTGAATGGGGCTTGCACAGGTGAAAGGGAAGGAAGGGGGAATCCAGGCAGTGGAAACAGCCAGGGTAAAGGGGTAAAGCAGATATGAACATGTTACAGTGGATATGAGATGTGGGCAGTTAAAAATCTACCTGGCAAGAAGGGAATACGAAGGTTGGAAGAACAGGGAGGAGACAGATTTAGAAAAGGTCAAATGGGTCAGATTACAGAGGGCCTCAGAAGCCAGGAAAAGGAGCTTTAACTGAAAGCACCATGCAGTTGGGTTCCCCAATAGCCCGGTTGGTAAAGAATCTGCCTACAATGCAGGAGACCCCGGTTCGATTCCTGAGTCAGGAAGATCTGCTGGAGAAGGGATAGGCTACCCACTCCAGTATTCTTGGGCTTCCCTTGTGGCTCAGCTGGTAAAGAATCTGCCCACAGTGTGGGAAACCAAGGTTCGATCCCTGGGTTGGGAAGATCCCCTGGAGAAGGGAAAGGCTACCCACTCCAGTATTCTGGCCAGAGGAATTCCATGGACTACACCCATGGGGTTGCATTTAAGGGCTTCCCTCATAGCTCAGTTGGTAAAGAATCTGCCTGCAATGCAGGAGACCCGGGTTTGATTCCTGGGTTGGGAATATTCCCTGGAGAAGGAAATGGCAACATACTCCAGTATTTTTGCCTGTAGAATTGCATGGACAGAGGAGCCTGGCAAGCTACAGTCCATGGGGTCTCAACAGTCGGACACATCTTAGTGACTAAACCACCACCGTGCAACTAGAAGGGCAGTGGAAGCAATGTCTTTGGTCTTCTGTCATGATAGATGGTACCATCTTTGGGAAACTAATATTCCTAAACTGAAAAATAATTCAGCTTGAGAATGAAAACTTAGCTCTGGACATAGTGAGTCTCTTCTCTTGGAATGGAAAGAGATGGGAGAGTGACTTGGGATTTAAGCAGCATCACAATTATATATCGGCTGTTCTGAACTGAGGTTAATGATTCTCCCAGAATCCTCAGGCAACAGTAAGAATATGTTGGGGAAGTTTAGTCTTTTCTCATCGTATGACCTGATGCTAGCTTGGGTGGCATGGGTCATGAGCACTTACTAGTGCTCCACCTAGATCCCTTCTGATCCCTTGTGTCATTTCAGCGCATGCCCATGTTTGATTTATGAAGACCTTTGTTTCTAATCTCTGCACCTGTAGATCTCTTTGGAGGAAGCCCTGCAGGTAACTGAAGCTGTCTGCTGCAGAGTTGAGACCCAGTGGTGTCTGGGATTGATGTTCCCCACATACTATATTTTCCTGGCAGCCCTGAACCAATGACTGGTAGGTATCGAGCATGAAAGCCTTGCTCCTTTCCTCCAAGTTGAGGCAAAATCTGGAGCCTAACTTACACCCCAGATCTCCCCTGAAGAATCAGACCAAAGCTAACTTTCTGGAAACCTTGCCCAAGATTGGAAATGTTCATGGCATTCTTTCTTCCCTGCCCTGCTTCTCCAACTCCCTTTCAGTCTCCCCTAGGAGCACTTCCTCAATATATCATGAGTAGAGGAATCCTTGCCTCCTCGGAGTCTTTCCTAGAGAACCCAACCTAAGGAAGCACAGTACCATTTGCAGAGTGCTCTTACACATGTTATGTTGACAATCCTCATTGTGGGCTTTTGTTGTCCTCACTTCCACATCAGATTTTTAATGGATTTTTTTAAAAAAAAAAAAAAACCAAGTACCAGGATAAAGCTGAGAATTTGACTTGGGAATTTGTCCAACAATTCAAAATCATTGCTCTCCATTTTTATCAAATCTGAAGTTATGAATCAGCACATCAAATTCAAGACCTAAATCTGATGTTATTGGATATAGAAAGGACTATTTAAAATATATCAAAGCTTAGCAAAGACTCTCCTCCATTCTTATTATTCCCAATGTTGGTACAAATTATTTGCCTTATGATTCAAAACCAAGTGTATTGCTATAAAAGCCCAGTCTTAAATTAGAAGTTTGGGATTAACAGGTACTACTGTATATAAAATAGATAACCAATAATAACCTACTATATAGCACAGAGAGCTATACTGAATATTTTGTAATAACCTATAAAAGAATCTGAAAAAATAGATATATACATATGTATAACTCAATTTGCTGTATATCTGAAACTTACAGAACATTTTAAATCAAGTATACTTCAATTAAAAAGAAGAATCTCAGAATCTTGACCACAGTACTCTATTCATAGATAAATATTTTTTGCAGATTTAAGTGACTCATTACCCAGTTTTATATGCCATTCTAGTAAAATCTCTCATGTCCTTCATTCTTCCCCAAAACATAGTGTAAATAATCTTCTGTTTCACTGGACAAAATTCTGTTCGTATTTCATAGTCACATGCTAATGCACACACATGCACACACGCCACAGTCTTCTCTAAATGGAAATATCTTCATGAGTGATGCTATACTTCACATCGTAGTACCCAGCTTAGTGCCTGGCATGTAATAAGCATGTAAGAAGAAACACATTTTTTGAACTTAAATCATTAGCAACACAGTTTTTCTCCCTGCATCCCATTTGCCATTATAAACCCAGTGATTTAGGGCAAGGAAAATACCACCTTATTTAGGAGGATTCTGGAATGCATTGGGAATCCCTCTCAGATAGAATGAGTCCTCTCCTTCCATCTGGGGGGATACAGAGAATAAGAAGGAGAAGAGGAAGGGAAGCATGAGAAGATGCACCTTGGCTTCCTTGCTCTGGGTTGAATCCTACAGTGGAGAGGTCTGGTACATCATCTCAGAGAGAAGTTGAAAGATGAGTAGTTTGGGGTATGTGTGATCTTAACTGGGAACTCCTGAGATGATAGGCATGTAAGGAGGGGCAACATCCTGGAAAGTGGTCCTGTCGTGACTCTCTTGTGTATCCCCCAACTTTCCATACATGGAATGGATCTGAAAGTTTCCACAGGCTCCAGGAAAGAACCAAAGTGAAGCTTGAGAATCTGCTGGGGAACTTTCCATGACGGGTCTCTGTGGAGGAGAAGGAAGCCTAATATCTGAGCATATGGTGAAGGCCATTGAGGGAGCGGATGAACAGAAGAGTGAGTCAAACCTTGAAGGGTTTAAAAGCCAAAGAAAATCAAAGTGGTGCCCAGAAAGCAAGGAGAGATGGTTACCTGGAACGAGAAGACAGATCACAAGATGTACAAGCCATGGATTTGAGCCAAGCATGTGAAAGGCAGCCAGTTCCAGAACTGTAGCAAACACAACCCCACAGTAATACCCATCTAGAAACCAGAGTAGCCCTACAAAAGAAATGCGCCCCCACCTGCTCCTAACACTAGACGAGCCACAAGCTTCCCCATCCAACCACATCTAGGGGAAAGGGGAAACAGGAAAAGCAGCCTTAATGGGAGGTGAAATTTAAATTGACTGAATATTCTATAATACAGACTGAATCATATAAAAAGGATTATTTAGACCAGAAGAGAGAAAAAAATCTGTTAACTTTTTCCTCTTGTGTCAGGTATCTCTGGCCATGCATAATTTTCTATTACTGCTGTAATAAATTATCACAGGCTTACTGGATTAAACAATGCAAATTTATTATCTTACAGTTCCGGTGATTGTAGGTCTTGACACAGGTCTCCCTGGGCTAAAATAGAGGTGTCAGCAGAGCTGCGTTCCTTTCTGGAGGTTCTAGGACAGAAACTGTTTCCTTGCCTTTTCTAGATTCTAGAGGTCATCTGTAGTTTTTGGCTCATGATCCCCTTCCTCCATCTTCCAAACCAGCATCTCTGACCATTCTCCCACAGCCACATCTCCCATTACCTGACTGGGAAAGGTTCTCCATGGAGGGCTTCCCAGGTGGTGCTAGTGGTAAAGAACCCACCTGTCAATCCAGGAGATGCAAGAGATGCAGATTCGATCCCTGAATCAGGAACATCCCCTGGAGAAGGAAATGACAACCTACTCCAGTATTCTTGCCTGGAAAATCTCATGGAGAGAGGGGCCTGGTGGGCTCCATGGGGTCACAGAGTCAGACACAACCGAGTGACTGAGCACGTGATTAAATGGGGCCCACTGAGATGATCTGGAATTGCCTCCCCATCTCAAGACCCTTCACATCATCATAACTGCAAAGTCTCCTTTGCCTTGTAAGATAACTTTCACAGGTTCTCTGGATTAGGGTGTCAACATCTTTGTGACTTTTTAAAATTTTCATTGGAGTCTAGTTGATTTACAGTGTTGTATTAGTTTCAGGTGTCCAGCAAAGTGAATCAGTTACACGTATGCATATATCTACTCTTTGTAAGATTCTTTTCCCATATAGGTCATTACAGAGTATTGAGTTCCCTGTACTATACAGTAGGTCCTTGTTAGTTATCTATTTCTATGTAGCAATGTGTATATGTCCATCTCAATCTCCCAGTTTATCCCTCCCCTCCCCTTCCCCCACCCTGGTAACCGTAAGTTTGTTTTCTACATCTGTGACACTATTTTTGTTTTATAAGTTCATTTGTATCATTTTTTAAGTGAAAGTGTTAGTTGCTCAGTCATGTCCAACTCTTTGTGACCCCATGCCTACCAGACTCCTCTGTCCGTGGAATTCTCCAGGCAAACATACTAGAGTGGGTTGCCATTCCATTCTCCAGGATATGTTCCCGACCCAGGGATCAAACCCAGGTCTCCTGCATTGCAGGCAGATTCTTTACCAACTGAACCACTGGGAAATCCTGTAAATTCCACATATAAGCAGTATCATATGGTATTTATCCTTTTCTGTCTGACTTACTTCATTTGGTATGACAATCTCCAGGTCCTTCCATGTTGCTGCAAATGGCATTATTTTGTTCTTTTTATCACTGAGTAGTATTTCATTGTATATATGTACTGCGTCTTCTTTATTTATTCATCTGTTAATGGACATTTGGGTTACTTCCATGTCTTGGCAATTCTAAATAGTGCTGCTATGAACATTGGGGTCACGTATCTTTTCAAATTAGAGTTTTCTACTGTGTCAACATCTTTGGGTGGCCATTATTCCACCTGGCATAGGCCATGATGATGGGGAGATATCAGAGGGCAGGGAGAAACACTCAAGACTCCTGAAGGGCCCCTCTAGGCTCAGAATGAGCATCCTGGCACTTCCAGCTCATTCTGTTAGCCTGGGCCAGAGTCAAAGTAGGAGGCACTAGAGAGTTGAATGGCCAAGGGCCCTCATTCAGGGCATGGAGAAGAAAGAGAGTCATTTCTGCCGTCTACTCATATCCCACCCCCACCCATAGCACTCCCTGCTAGTGAGCCGATGGTAGGCGCTGGACACCAGCTCACAACACTACATACTTGCACATTACTAAGCTGAAGCTGCCATGTAATGTACAGAGATAAAAGAAATGTTAGTCAAGGAGAATTGATTTTAATTCTACCATGAACAGGATGGTTATTACATGAGCCTCTTAAAGCTAAAGAAAATATAACGTGAATGAGAATGATAGAGCTGAACCATCTTTGATTATTTGGCCATTTTTGTTAAAGTGATCATGTTTTCTGCTTAACTGTCATCATAATTTTGTGACTTCCAGTCAGGTTTTCCCCATTTATAAATGTAGCATTTCCCAAACATCCATGAATTCAAAAATGCTAGAATCTGCCTAGGCAAATCCTGAATTTGGAGGAAAAAAAGAAAAAAGAAAATACTAACAGATAAATAGAAGTTAACTATTTGGAAAATAGTGAAAATCCAAACACTTGTTAAAACTATATATCTCAATCATGTTTTGATCAATTTTTCTTCTTATTTCATAGCAGAGCTGCTTTATATGAGTAATTTATTCATTTGTGAAAGAAAACTTAATATTAAAGTTTTGTAACAAGGAAAGTTTTTGAGTATAATTTTCCTGAAATATATTAATTTTGAACAATGAGCACATGTGTTTCTTTTCTACAAAGATCAAGGAAAGAACAAAAACAGACATTATGTGAGTCTATTTGAAAGCAAATTTTGATTCTTTAATGAGGAACGCCATGCTAACACAGTGCCTCAGATTGATCGTTTTTCCAGGGCGATCAGTTACTTTAGCTGTCATTGTAAGTGATCATCTGACAATGCATTTTTCTCTGCCCCTCCCTGTTCCTGCATTGTCATGTCCTGTAACTGCATTCACTGCTGGGTGTCACCTACACATCCCAGCCTCACTCCTGACCTCGAGCTTCTCATGATTTGGATATCCTCTGATTCCACAGGTCCCAGAGAGGGTGGACTTAGACTGTGATGCCTACTCTATGACGGGTCTTGCATGGCAGTGTGAATCCCAGGGATCTCAGAGCCCTCCAAGTCATAGCTTCCCATCCACCTCTCCTATGCCAGACCATCCCATTGCAACCCCTGACTACTGGGTAGATAAAATGAAAAGCTGATGTTGTCACTCTACTGTTTAACATTATCTAGTGGGTCCTCCTTACAAGTAGATTAAAAAGCCAAAATGCAAAAGTTGACCCCCTTCATGCCCCTCAAAAGTCATCTCCTTTGACTGTCCCTTCATTCACTCTTTTCCAGCCACACTGATCTTTCTGTCATGGGGTGTTTGGACTTGCTCTTCCCTCTACCTGAAACCCTTATTACTGCAACTCACAAATATTTTATAGATGGGTCAGACACTGTTCTAGTTTATGTGAACTAAACACATGAAAAGCTCTGCCCTACTGAAGCATACACTCTCTTCCTCAGGATTTTTTAATGGCTGCTTTCTGAATCATCTCTGGTTTTCCTAACTGAAGAAATTCATACCTATAGTCACTCTATGCCATAACTCCCTTTTGTTTTCTTCATTCTTGCTGTGCATAAAAGTATCTGTTTATGCACTGTCTTATTGCTTTAGAATGTGATCTCTGCTTCCCTCTTGCTCTTTACTAGTACCAAGAACTGTACAGGCAGTGGGAGAGGAGGTGCATTGCACGGTTTCCTGGGCTCTGTAGCTGGTGCATCAGAATACAACCTCTGCTTAATTTTTCCACGGGAAATGCATCTCTTGGAAAAGAATTATCATTTATCATAACTGCCCATTGAAATTGTGCCTAGAAATAATAGAAAGTCATAGAGGCAATTTTAGAGATGGGTATTCTCAAAGTTGTTTGCTTCTGAACATAACAAAGTGATTCTGGATAAGGTGAGAAAATCCAAATCTTAGAAAGTAATTTTGTTTAAAACTGTGGTTGTCAGTTGCCAAGATATGCGGTATTAAAATGCTTCGTCATCTCAAGCAGGAATGGGCAAGTCTTGTTGGATGGGCAAAAGTAATTTTGTTTAAAACTGTGGTTGTCAGTTGCCAAGATATGCAATATTAAAATGCTTTGTCATCTCACGCAGGAATGGGCAAGGTGGGCAAGCCTAAGGATAGGATTAAGTTTAGGGACAAGGACAGCAGGGCTCAAAAAGCCTGAAGATGGTGGGTTTGAGGGGTTATAGCCTTGTGGAGGGAAGGCACAGAAAGGATCACCTTGGCACTTCTTGTCTCTCCCTACCCCTGCCTTTGCTGGTCGAGTAACAGTTGTTGAATTCAGTTCCACCTGGAAGCAGCATGAAACCCAGGAATGATATTGCATGAACACAGATAAGCTGGGTCCTACTTGGAGGTTGGAAGGAAGATTGGTCCCATTCCTAGGGCATGGCTGATGCTGGAAGGCCTTCAAATCTAGACATTTCTGTGTGTATGTGGAGACTTCTTTCCCAGTTGCACCCATAGAAGCTTCCAGTCTAGCACTGGTGATGTGTGCTTGGTCTTTTCTCATAGCAGTGGAGGACGGTGTCATATTGCTTGACTACCAGTAATGAAGCGTGAGACAAAGATGGCAACAGAAGAGCCTGGGACTCTTGGGTCAGAACAACAACAATAACAAAATATCTCCATTGTTCTTTGCTGAAGGTAACAGTAGTCAGAACTGAGGCTCTTGGACCAAGTGACCAACTCTGAAATTCTTAGAATTATCATGAGGTGGATTATATGGATTGCAGAAAGACATTTCTTGCAAATGGGGGTATTGGGGCAAAGAATCCATTAGTACAAATGAAAAAGTCATAAGAAATACTATTATTTTGTATCCCAACCTGGTAATGAGATGAGGATGAGAGGTTGGATGGCATCACCGACTCATTGGACATGAGTTTGAGTAAACTCTGGGAGTTGGTGATGGACAGGGAGGCCTGGCGTGCTGCAGCCCATGGGGTTGCAAAGAGTTGGACATGACTGAGCGACTGAACTGAACTGAACTGAACCTGGTAAAGCAGGACATAGCAGTTTCATAAATATTTAAAGCACAATTTTGAAACGAATGTTTATTTCCCTTGAAGTAGGTTGTACCCATATAAAGGACACTCTTAGAAACACTTCACTGTATCAAAAATGTCAGTGAATTTATTTAAAATCAAGTCTGAAAATCCCATTGACATTGAAAAACTGCCTGTTAATATGCTTTGTCTCTGTGAGAGATTAAAACTTTTCTTCTTAGCAAGTGTGAAGGTTATACACAAAAGAGTAATAGATGGAAAATAGATGAGTGGTTGCCAAGGGTGAGGCTGGCAGTAGGGGTGGGGTGGCTCTAAAGGAGTAGCACAAGGAAGCTCCCTTGGGTTGGTGAACAGTTCTGTATCCTGATGCTCATTATATGAATTATACACGTGATAAAACTGCATAGAACTACACATGCATGTATACACAGGTACATGCAAATGAGTGCATGTAAAACTGGTAAAATGTGAATAATGCCTATAGGTTGCACCAATAACAATCTGCTGGTTTTATAATATACTATAAGTTATATAAGGCATTACTATCCTAAGAAGCTGAGTGAAGGGTAAACAGAAATCTCAGTACTACCTTCCAACTTCCTAGATGGAAGTCTATAATTATTTTAAGATAAAAATGTTTTTAAACAGATAAAACTGTGACTTTCATAGGATGGAGTCAGAGGATCCTCACTTAGGATTTGATGAGAAACACCCAGTTCAGTTCAGTTCAGTTCAGTCGCTCAGTCATGTTTGACTCTTTGCGACCTCATGGACTGCAGCCCGCCAGGCTTCCCTGTCCATCACCAACTCCCAGAGCTTGCTCAAACTCATGTCCATCGAGTCAGTGATGCCATCCAACCATCTCGTCCTCTATCATCCCCTTCTCCTCCCGCCTTCAATCTTTCCCAGTATCAGGGTCTTTTCAAATAAGTCAGTTCCTCGCATCAGGTGGCCAAAGTATTGGAGTTTCAGCTTCAGCGTCAGTCCTTCCAATGAATATTCAGGACTGATTTCCTTTAGGATTGACTGGCTGGATATCCTTGCAGTCCAAGGGACTCTCAAGAGTCTTCTCCAGCACCACAGTTCAAAAGCATCAGTTCTTTGTGCTCAGCTTTCTTTATAGTCCAACTCTCACAGCCATACATGACGACTGGAAAAACCATAGCTTTGACTAGACGGACCTTTGTTGGCAAAGTAATGTTTCTGCCTTTTAATATGCTGTCTAGGTTGGTCATAGCTTTTCTTCCAAGGAACAAGTGTCTTTTAATTTTATGGCTGCAGTCATCATCTGCAGTGATTTTGGAGCCCAGAAAAATAAAGTCTGTCACTGTTTCCTTTGTTTCCCCATCTATTTGCCAAGAAGTGATGGGACCAGATGCCATTATCTTAGTTTTCTGAATGTTGAGCTTTAAGCCAACTTTTTCACTCTCCTCTTTCACTTTCATCAAGAGTCTCTTTAGTTCTCCTTCTTGGGTAGTGAGAAACACCCAAGTAGATGCCAAATCAACTATATTTTGCTTACCTTATGGATGTCTCACACAGACATGGCCAAACCCCACTTGGTAATTCAGAGTTCAGAGATCTGAAAATGAAGAACAATATTCCCCTTCCAAAAACAGTGTTTTTATTTAAAATTTTGGGACCAAAATCATATTTTTTATGTCTGCCTTGAGTTGGGTTCCCTCAGAGCAGACCCTGACTGAACAATGTGAATGCACATAATTTATGTGAGACATCATCCCAGAAAATACCACTTATGAATTACAGGAATGAAGGAAGGAAGCCAGCTGAGGGTACATTATAGAGCAAGTTTACAACTGAGCTTCCCTGGGAGCTCAGCTGGTAAAGAATCTGCCTGCAATGCAGAAAACACCAGTTGGATTCTTGGGTCGGGAAGATCCCCTGGAGAAGGGATAGATAGCCACTCCAGTATTCTTGGGCTTCCCTTGTAGCTCAGACGATAAAGAATCTACCCACAATGTGGGAGACCTGGATTCGATCTCTGGATTCGGAAGATCCCCTGGAGTAGGGAACAGCTACCTACTCCGATATTCTGGCCTGGAGAATTCCCATGGACAGAGGAGCCTGGCAGGCCACAGCCATGGGGTCGCAGAGTTGGACACAACTGAGTGACTTTCACTTTTTTCACCGCTAACTGAAGCCCAGTCCCCATGGGGTAGTCTGGGAGATAGCTTATATGCATCAAAGTTATCCAAAATGAGGGGAGAGGGAGCTGGGGGTACTTGCCGTGTCCTTGGTTGACAGGTGCATCAACCCTCCAGAACTCCTGCCTGCTCTCCTGTGACTTGTCTGCGATCGAATCACATACCTTCTAAAGCATAAGACCTGTCTTGTTGGCTGCTTGTGAAATTACCTCATTGTCTTTCATGGCCTGTATTTCACAACAATAAGTCTAGGTGTACTTTTAGTGTTATTAATTCTCCCTGGGATACTTATGCTTCTGAAATCTGAGGATTAATTCCTTCATCAATTATAGAATAATCTTACCTATTAATGCCTAGAATTGACTCACATTTCTTCCTTTTAGAACTCCAATTAGATGTACATTGGTTCGTCTCATTCTATCCTCCATGTCACTTAATTCTCTTCCCGTTTCTGTATCATTACCCCTCTGTGTTTCATTTTGGAGCTCTTTTCTATTTCACTGGCTGTCTCTGCAGCATTAAAACTGGCAGTTGTGTTTTTTATTTCCTTGACTATTTTGTTCCTTTCAGAGGTCCATTTGGTTATATTTCAAGTATGTCTAATTTTTTCATAGTGGTCTTCTTATTTATATATTTAATTATTTCAAACATGCTTATTTTATCATCTTAATCAAATGGCTCTACTACCTAAAGTTCTTGGGAGTATGACCCTGTCCTGATTATACCTGATAAGTGAAGTTTGATTCTCACTTATAATAAGACTGTTATCTTATGAGTTTCCTCATTTGGGGTTATAAACTCAAGTTCAGTGAAGTTGTATGTGTAAGAATCTATGACCAGGACTGAGGGTACAATCACTCGGAGAGGATTTCTATATGTTTATTCCAAGTACACCAATAGTTTCACTTCTTTAGGATCACTTTTATGTAAATTCTTTGACTTTTGGTTCCTGGACCATTTGCTTGAGGAGCAGATCCCTTACGACCTATTTTTATGGGAGACTTTTCCCCATATAGAGCCTAAACCATGACAAACTTCCTTTGATGTCTACCTGTACCATTTGAAGGATGTTTTTGCTTATCTACCCTTTAACTGTCAGTAAGGATTTAGTCTAGGTATTTCTTGTGAGGAATAATATAAATAAGTGCTAATATGAACCAGTAGAGGTTTTTGAAGTATTAACTTCAGGGAAGGCTATTATAGCTCCATTTCACCACTAGGTTTCAGGGGAGTAGGAAGTTAGCACAGCCATCCAGTTCAATCACTTCAAAAGACACCTCAGAAACTCACAGCTTCTGGATGGTTCATAGTATTACACTAAGTAGCCACTGCAGCTTACACATTTGTGCATGACCACCAGGGAAAGAACAATGACTTCAGCTTTTCTTCCATGCTCAACTCTTTCATAATTCTGTATCATTGGCCAAATTTAAGCCAAAATACTCTTTACAGGAGACTCTCAGGAATGTTGTTCTTAGGCATCTAGCTACCATGAAATTGGACAGAGTATATAAAATTTAGAACAACAAACAATCCAGTAAATTAAGGATATAACTCTTGAAATTCTTGGTTTTATTCAAAAGACGTGTTTCCAAATTTCTTTCTCATTTAGTAGAACCAAAGGTTCATTGCCTGTTTGTATACATTAAGACTCAATCCTTGTTGATACTAAGATTGGTGACCTCCATTTAATTCATGATGTGCGGTGCTGTGCTCAGTCACTTCAGTTGTGTCCAACTGCCTGTGACCTATGGACTATAGCCAACCAGACTTCTCTATCCATGGGATTCTCCAGGCAAGAATGCTGGAGTGGGTTGCTGTGCCCTCCTCCAGGGGATCTTTCTGACCCAGGAATGGAACCCAGAACTCTGGCATCTCCTGCATTGCAGGCAAGTTCTTTACCCTCTGAGCCACCTGGGAAGCCTCCATTCATTCATGCTAGAGAGGTAATAACTTTGGATCATAACTTCATTTTTGTTTATAGCCACTTATTTATGTTTTCCCTCTGTCAATTTCCCTCGTGTGTGTGTGTGTGTGTCTGTGTGTCTGTGTGTGCCACACACTTAAATTTTTTTCTATTTTGTCCAGCATTTCTGGATGTTTAATAGCAGGAATATTTTCCCATTACCGAGGTCACCATATTGATAGAATCATAATTGTGTGTAGTTCTTATTATGAGCTCATTTTTGGGAGACCAAGGAGTTGGAGAGGAATCCTATAATGTTCCAAAACAGACTTTTCCACCACTGGAAGTTGGTGGTTTTCATTCATCTCATTAATTTTTTTTTAACTTCTCATCCTGGGATTTCTTGATCATGCAGGTAATATCAAGTCATGAAGAATCATTCTTCATGATTTTTATTGAAATATAATTGACATATAACATTATGTAAATTTAAGGTGTACAACATGTTAATTTGAGGCATTTATCAGTTACCACCATAGCATTAGCCTAGACTGAGGTCTATCAAATCACATAATTATAATTTTTTTTGTGGTAGGAAAAATTAAGATCTAGTTTCTCAGCAGTTTTGAAGTTTATAATACATTTCGTTGCCTATACTCACTATGCTGTGCATTAGATTTCCAGGACTTATTTATCTACTAGTTGAAAGTTTTTACCTTTAAACAACATCTCCCCAATTCCTCCAACCCCAGCCCTTGGTAAGTACCATAAGTACCATTCTACTGTCTGTATTTATGAGTTTGAAATTTTTAGGTTCCACATATATGTGATATAATACAGTATTTGTCTGTTTCTGTCTGACTTAGCTTACTTAGCATAATGTACTCAAAGTTCATTCATATTGTCACAAATGGAAGGATTTCCTTCTTTCTCATAGCCTACTAATATTCCATTGTATATATACACCACATCTTCTTTATCCATTCATCTGTTGACAGACACTTTGTTTACATATCTTGGATTTTGTGAGTAATACCACAGTGAACCTGGCAGCACAGATATCTCTTCAAGATCCTGTTTTCATTTCATCTGGATAAATAGCCAGAAGTGTAATTGCTGGATCATATGGTAGTTCTAGTTTTAATTTTTTGAGAAAGCTCCTTACTGTTTTCCATAGTGGTCAAACCAATTTGCATTCCCACCAGCAGTATACAAGGTTTCCCCTTTCTCCATATCCTTGTCAACACTTGTTATCTCTTCTTGCTTGTGGTCATTCTAGGTGTGAGGTGGCATCTCATTTTGCATTTCCCTGATGATTAGTGATGTTGGGAATCTTTTCATGTACCTGTTGGCCACTTGGATGGCTTCTTTGGAAAAATAGCAGAATTCAGTTCCTCTGCACATTTTTATATCAGATTGTTTGATTTTTTCTTATAGAATTGTATTATTTCTTTTTATGTTTTGTATATTAACCCTTTATCCAATAAATGACTTGCAAATATTTTCTCCCTTTGTGTAGATTGTCTTTTCATTTTGTTGATGTTTTTTCTGGTGTCCAGAGGCTTTTTAGTTTGATGCAGTCCCACTTGTTTATTTTTGCTTTTGTTGCTTGTTCTTTTGATGGCATATCCAAATAAATCATTGCCAAGACCAATATCAAGGAGCTTTTCCCCTATGTTGTCATCTAGGAATGTTATGATGTAAATCTTATGTTTAAATATTTAATTCATTTCAAATTAATTTTTATGAGTGGTTTAAGATGGGGTCTAATTTCGTTCTTTTTCATGTGAATATATAGTTTCCCCAAAATTGTTTATTGAAGAGACTTTCCTTTCCCCGATGTGTATTTTTGGCTTACTTGTCAAATATTAGTTCACTGTGTATGTTTGTGTTTATCTCTGGGCTCTCAATTCTGTTCCATTGACCTAAGTATCTCTTTTTATGCCAGTACCATATTGTTTTAACTACTATAGCTTTGTAATCAAGCTTGAAATCAGAAAGTGTGATAGCTGCAACGCTACTCTTTCTCAGAATTGTTTTGGCTATTTGGGGTCTTTTGTGGATCCATATACATTTAAGTTTTTTTTTCTCTTTCTGTGAAAAATACCATTGGAATTTTGAGAGGGATGCATTGAATCTATAGATGACTTTGGGTAGTACCTTTATGATGTTTTTATTCTTGTAGACAATTCTTTTATTTTTACAATATCCCCGGACAGAGAGCAATATTATTTGTATCTTCCTCAAAGAAAGAAAAAAAATTATCCAGTTTGCATTATTGAGACAGCTTTTGGGGGTTGTGTAGCTTTATTTGTGGGGCTCCTTTCTCACTTCCTTAAAAGTGCAGTCTCGAGTGTCTATCTTCTGTCCCTGTGTGGGAATCCAAACCCAGTCTTCAAACCCCTGGACCTGATACTCCCGTGACCCTGCATTGCATCTGCTTCTGCCTAGTGTTTTGGTGTTGTTTCCTTTTCATTTCTAGTATCAGGGGATTTTCTTTATTCTCTTTCAAGTTCAGCTGTGTAGAAAAAGATTGTTACATTTTGTCCAGCATCTGTGCCTATTTGCTTTTCCTTATCAGCTCAGACTGCCATATAGCTCTAAGCTTTGAGGCATTTTCCAGTTTATCTACTATCATCTATAAAGGGCAAGAGGCTACAGCCTTTCAAGTGTTCTCTATGCTATATACTTGTAAGCATAAAAATAAAATATGATGAAAAAGATATGGAACATAAATGGAATTCATGGCATTGAAAATATTAAAAAAGTTGTTTGAAAGAGATGTTGGCTCAATTTCACACACCTTAGTTTAATAAAGAAAATACATCTTTAAAATGTTGATAATTTGTAAGTCTGAGGAATCATGGAAATATAGTGTATCTTGAAGTCAACCATGTATTTGACAAAGAGTTCTGTGACATTCATGTAGGTGACTTAAGGCATGTTCATCATGGGCTAATAGGATTAGATAGGGGCATAGCTTATTAAGGAACACAACTGCAGGCATTTGATAGAGCAAACTGACCTCAACCTGGAAGGAGGAGGCCGGTTCTTATATTTATGTTGGTGATATGGATGAAGACAGAGAAGACAAAGTAATAATGTTAGCAGAAAACAAACAGCAAGGAGAGAACACAATTTCTAAACCATCTTGATGTGCTGAAATGCTGAGCCAAATACACAAAGTAATTTTTTTTAAGTGAAGGAAAATTTAGGATGTCTTTCTTGTAATTGGCACAATGTTCCTTGTGCCAATATTCTGTAAAATCTGTCCCGTAAAATCTAAATTATTTTAAATTATTTACTGAGGTACAATTTACATACAATGTGAGCACATTGGATATGTTTTGATAAATGTATCAAATTGAGACAGTCCATTAGAGTGATACCCATCCCATTTAATCCTCTCTCCCAACTAGAGACAGCCACTGTTCTGATCTTTATCACAAAAGCTTAATTTTGCCTGGCTTAGAACGTCATATAAATGGTTTCATATCACTTGTAAACTGTTTGCCTGGCTTCTTTTACTCAAGATAACGCATTTTAGATGCATCCACATGTTTCTGTACATCAGTTGTACAGGGTGTTGCTGGTCTTGTTCTGTCTTGTTTCATTGGTGAAAAGTAGTCCATTGTAGGGCTGTTACTGAGTTCAAGCTCATACTACTTGCTGCACAACAGGATGATAAATTGAGAGACGAGTTGTTGGGGCAATGAATAGCAACTTTATTTGAAAAGCTAGCAGATGGGAAGGATGGTGCTCCCAAGAAACCATCTTACCCCACGTTAGAATTCAAGCTTATTTTATACTAAGAGAGGAGAAGGTTTGGCTGGCTATTGCAAACTTCTTGGTGACAGAATCCTTTGTTCTTGCAACTGTCCGCATAGCATAGGTCTGATCACACTGTTCCTGTAAACCTCCAATGAGACAATTGTTATTCTCTGTTCTTCAACTTTTTATCTCTATATGAATGGAAAAGTGCTATACAATACCTTTAAAGGTCAAGCCTAGAAGGCAGAGCTTGAAAAAGGGCTATTATGTGTATTTCAAGCTATAGGCAACAATCTTTCACTAAGGTTCAGAGCCACCTTAACTCAGAGCACAGGCAACAGAGAACAAAGGTTAGAGCTAAAGGAATAGACCCCATACATTTGTAATTTCTGTTACATGACTTTACCACAGTTTGTTTATCTCTATTCCCTTACTAAGAATGCAGAAAGGAAACTCCAGGCTGGGAGGTGAGGACATTTTAGCATATCAAGTTGGATGCGTGAGACAAGTGCTCGGGCCTGGTGCACTGGGAAGACCCAGAGGGATCGGGTAGAGAGGGAGGTGGGAGGGGGGACCAGGATGGGGAATACATGTAAATCCATGGCTGATTCATGTCAATGCATGACAAAACCCACTACAATATTGCAAAGTAATTAGCCTCCAACTAATAAAAATAAATGGAAAAAAAAAAGAAGAAAAGAGGACGTGAAAGCGTTGTAATTAATGAAGCTAGAGGGAAATTCTCTTTGGAGAGTATTGTTGGAGTCCTGTGGTGTTTTCCCTCACCCCTCCACACTAGGGGAAAGGAGAAAGATGTTTCCCAGTTCACCTCAAGCCTAATGAGACAGACTTTAAGAGGACTACTCAGAAGACCTGCTATGTATTACATAACTGTAGGGGTCACTGTTCATTCTATAATCTATGTACCTGGTGACCTGAGAACTATATCATTTGACAATCAAGGACAGAGTGGACTAGGGTTTGACTGGTTCTTGACTCACACCAAGGAGAGGCTGATGGAAGCATTGAGTAGAGGGCAGTGTTGAGAACTATGCACCTCCACTTATTGTAGGACAAAGGCGCTTCCTCCATCCTTTGGGCAAGATGTAGGCTCTGAAAGTAGGAGAAAGATTGGTTTTATTTTTAAAAGGAAGATTGCCTAGAAGTCTTCCTGATATGAAGCAAAGTGATCTGAAAAGAAAGAAATTGGAGATTTCGGGGATGAAGAATTTGGAGAGAATGTTCCTACTAGAGGAGATCCTACGCTCACCAGTATCAGACATTCCCATGGGAAGTCTGAAAAACTCTGAAGTGCGCCAAAAGTCACCTTTAACTGCTTGCCAGATCTAGCATGTGTAAACAGGAAACCCCAGCAAGCCCAGTCATCTGGGACTCTTCCTGTCCCCCAGTTCTATTCCTTATGCTGGAGGGTTCCAAAACTAAGGGCAGCCAACTGAGCAAGGAGGAGGAGATGCATCTAATCAAGAAAGAATCCTGAATCCTCCCAAACCGTATCTCTACCTGTTCCAGCCCAGTCCACCCCTCACCACTAGCTTTTAGATCCGAAGTAGGCCAGAGAAAAAGAGTTTAGAATGGAACTTCAATTACTAAAATAAGACTGAAAGTGGAAGTTGCTCAGTCATGTCTGACTCCATGACCCCATGGACTGTAGCCCTCCAGGCTCCTCTGTCCATGGGATTCTCCAGGCAAGAATACTGGAGTAAATAGCCATTCCCTCCTCCAGGGGATCTTCCCAACCCAGGGACTGAACCCAGCTCTCCTGCATTGCAGGCAAATTCTTTACCTCTGAGCCACCAGGGAAGCCCAAAATAAGACTAAAGGGTTTTTATTGCATGAGAGTGACTGGAAAATTTATGGGACCTGCTCTGAGATTTCATTTCAAAGAAAATTTAGTCCACTGAGCAATCGCAGAAAAGAATAAAGTAGTTTTGTGTACATTTTTACAATTGAAAGCTATGAAATATTCCATGAAAAAGTTACAACTTGTTGTTAAAACATTTGATACTAGGAATATTGCCCATATTTTTCTAAGGCTTAATGTTTTGAATAAATCATCCAAACTTAGGCTTACAGCTAATGAAAGATGAGGTCCAAGGACATCACTGAATGCCAACGCAGTTATGTAAGGTCTCTGCAGATATGAATGACAGATGTTTGCTCATGTAAAGAAGAGTGAGATTTTTGCCCAGCAAAGTTTTGTTGAGATCTTGATTATACATTATATTTTATTCTAGACTAAAACATTCATATAAAAAGGGGGAAATAGAACATTTATAGCTTCAAAAAAGGCAAAGTATGAGGAAATGTAATTCAAAACTGAAAACTTTAAAACACAAATTTTCAAAGTGATGCTTTTCATCCATTTTTAACTAGTAACTCTAAAACCAATTGAATTATACTACAAACATGATTTAAAAGTCATAATAACCAAAGTGGCTAGGTTGATCATTGTTCTCCTTCGTCGCTTAGTCATAAACAGAATAAGAATTGCATCTATGAAGCAAACTGTATCCACTGACAGATGAATGGATAAAGAAGGTGTGGTGTATACACACACACCCACAGGAATACTACTCAAGCATGAAAAGAATGAAATAATGCCATTTGCAGCAACATGGACAGACCCAGAGATTATCACACTAAATGAAGTAAGCCATAGAAAGACAAACATCCTATGATATCACTTATATGTTGAATCTAAAAAAATGATACAAATGAACTTACTCTGAGAAAAGAGAAACAGAGTCACAGACATAGGAAACAAACTCACTGGTTACTAAACGGGAAAGAGGAGGAGCGATAAATTAGGAGTTTGGGATTAACAAATACATACTGGTGGTGGTGGTTAAGTTGCCAAATAGTGTCCGACTCTTTGCAACCCCATGGACTGTATGTAGCACGCCAGGCTCCTCAGTCCATGGGATTTTCCTGGCAAGACTACTGGAGTGGGTTGCCATTTTCTTCTCCAGGGGATCGAACTGGGGCCTTCTGCATTGGAGGTGGATTCTTTACCATCTGAGTCACCAGAGAGGCCCAATGCTGGTATACATGAAAGAAATATTAATAACAGTACTGACTTTAGGAAAATATTCAAGTTAGCAGTAAAGCACAGAACCCCCTCCATTTAAAATTTTCAATCTAGCTCCCTCTGCTGGAGGAACTCAGTTCCTTTAAGACTTCCCATCTTAGTAAGCCATGACTTCACTACTAACAATTATACTCCTTCTAGGGACATCCAATGAATTTCCATGAATCAGGGTCCCACGGTGCCCTCCAAGTCAAAGAATTCTCAGCCTTTTGGTAAATCCAGCTTCTAGTACCAATGGTGGTAACCCCCACTGTTATGGTTCACCCACTTCAGGCATTTCTTGATTTTTCTTTGAAAATTGGACTTCTCAAGTGATGTCTTGTGTAGATAATGATGATTTCACTGCTCCTTTTTCATCTTCCACCTAGTGAGCGCTAAGTACTTTTCATGCTCATTTCTAAGGCTCCAAGTGCATTTCCCTAACATTCACATCATGACCATCTAAATTGGGATAATTTTGAGAGTGAAATGGAGTGCTATGAATTATTGTGCTGGAACAATATGCATAAACTGACTGTTCAAGGCAAACCAGGATACATAGTCATGCTGCCTATAAGACATGTGTGTAAAATAAAAAGAAAAAACTGAAAGAAAAACTGGGAGCAATGAACAATAAGCAATAAGTCATCCCTATTGTAGTCTCACTAAGCCAACAATAGAAATTCTTGACATGAAGTGAATTTGGGTGATATGTAGAAGGGATCTAAAAAAGAACAGATCAAATGTACAGATATTTTTAGACTACTTGGAAACAAAATTAAGCCAATTGGACAGACTTTATTGAGTTAAAAAATACCTAATATGCCTTTCAATCCAGGAATTCCACTTCTAAGAAACTTGTCCAATGAAATAGTTATAAATATGTGTAAATATTTGGCTACAAAAAGTTCATCTAGAAGTGCTTAAAGAAAGAGAGGGAAACCTAATTTTCAAAAACAGTGAGTTGTGATGGACATGAGTTTAAGCAAACTGGGAGATGGTGAAGGACAGGGAAGCCTGGCATGCTGCAGTCCATGGGGTTGCCAAGACTCAGATATGACTGAGCGACTGAATTGAACTGAACTGTTGACAGGAGAATATTTATAAATCAGGCCTTAGAAAAGTGCTAATAACCCCATCACTCTCTCACAGTACGTGAGTATGAAACCTAACTTTTCAAAGGAAAAATAAAAGCACTAAGAAGTTATTAACGCCAAAGAGATGCAACATTTAGACTTAAGAATTTAACTAACCAAAGGCAAATCCAGACTTGAAATCCATTCCAGATAATAATCATCAATGAGTTAAGAAGTCATCACTAAGTTCTAGACCCATGTCAGAGGTGCACCACAAAGGGATATCCATTGTCTAACTGCCACTCTCCCTAAATCCCTCCCTCACCTCCTACTGCAGCCTAGGCCACAACTTGAGGGTTCTGTAGGCTAGTATCACCATTATATTCTTAGGATTAATTATGAGTTAGCAAAATTTAAGTAGGAAATTCCTGCAGATTGATATCATTGAAGAACATTATTCCACTTGGGTTAAAAGTAGAAAACATGCTTTTATTCATTCTGTGTGATGTCAAACAAAAAACAGAGCAATACTGAGTCCAAGAAACTCTACGGCTAGGATGGGGAAGCACTGCAATTGAGCAAAATACCATGGCTGGCAAATTCTGAACACAGAATCAGGAAAAGGGGCAATAGAAAATCAAGACCATCAGGCTGGCCCACAGATGATCAGGATGATAGGGATGGATGGCAAACAAGAAAAGTGGGGACTGGCTTTTGTGGAGCCAGCAAATCATGACTGAAAAAAATACAGTATTGTTTCATAATATCCGAGAACAACCACTGCAAGTCAAGTTGGATATTCAGATTGGACAATCAAACAATTTGCTCAAGTACGAAAAAAGAGGATTAATTATATTGTGGGTAAAGCAGTAGCAGCAATTTCTCTGATCTGATCTATGGATCTATGTGGTTTGTATGTACACATAGTTCTGCTGGTTAAGATATTCCTTTCAAACCCATGATAACTGCTTTGGTTTTGCAAATAAATACATTGCTTTGACTAGCAGTATTAAAAAAAAACAGTGAGTTGGATTATATACATTGTCATATCCATATAACAAAATTATATACAATCATTAAATATAGCCTATATAAACATTTTGAAGCCAGTTATGATGTACTATATTAATTTGGATCCTGTTTCATTTATTCTTATCTTCTGAACTATTTGTTATTAAAGTATATCTTATTTTTAGTAAAAAATAAATTTGTCTCTCTTCAAGGAGAAAAAACAAGAATGATTCCTGCTAAAATGCCAACAAGAGAATAAGATTATGACTGATTTGAAATTTTCTTCCTTTGGCTTGTCCATATTTTATAAGTGAAAATGTTTTATAAATATCAATAAAATTTATAATAATTTTAACATTATGTAGACTGAATTGCAAATGGCAGCAGACCCAAGGATGACATTCTGCCTTCTGATCAGAGGGCAGACCTGTGGTTATGTAGGGTAGGCAAATTCTACCTCCATCTTTATAACAACTGTCATTCATGAAATTGACTCCATTCGCAAAAACAACACTTCAAAGGCTGATGGAATTAAATAAACTATCTGAATGCTCATTTTGATTCTCAAGCTTTCTCCTGGGGTCAAGGAGCTGATATGTGTCATCCTATATGACCAAATCATAAAACAGTTTATAACATATTAAAGATTTTAAAGCTTTCTAATGTTTCAGAAAAGTTGTCCCCAAGGGTCACCCTGGGGACATTCGTGTAGTAAGTAGAACTCAGATGGATAAAAGAATATGGGCAATTAATGGCATCCTCTCAGAAAGGGATGTTAAATGATGTCAGGTACACAGTTCTCCCATGGTTTAATTACACTGGCAAGTTGGTTTTAATAATAAAGGGGTAGATCCTTGGCCATGAGTAATTA